AGCTGCTGGCCCCAAAAGAGGATATTACAGCCTAGTACTGCTACTAATGGGATGGCAGCATTGCCTAGTGGGTACAGCATGGGACTGGACTTTTGCACACCTGGGTTCTATTCCCAGCTCTGCCACTGACCTGCTGGGTTATCTTAGGCAAGTCACTACCTCGCCCCATGCCTCAGTTTCACCATCTATAAAATGGGGATAATGATACTGGCCTGCTTTGCAAAGCGCTTTGAGCTCCACGGCTCGAGAGCTGGGGGTTTGTATTCCTACAGCTAACAGAGCTACTCCTTGGGCTCAAGAGGCAGAGTGGTCTGTGAGTGCTGAGGAACCCTGGAGGTGGTCATTACTGCACAGCCAGAGGGCTTCCAGAGAGAACAGACTTGGAGCTGGAAGTCCCGGCCCTGGTCACTTCCTCGGCAGAGGGTGAGTGGGGTGGATACAACCAGTCTAGTTAAACACCAAGCAAAGAGCAGTTTCCACTTAAAGCTGTCACAGTCCCTAGTCTAGAGAATCTGAGCACTGAAAGGACTTGCAGGTTGGAAGGCGCCCCCCACTCCCACCCCCCGGAGAGGTGGGCACACTCCATTCCCCAGGAACAGGGAGGAATCAACCCCTTTGGTTTCAGAGTAACAGCCTGTTAGTCTGTATTCGCAAAAAGAAAAGGAGGACTTGTGGCACCTTAGAGACTAACCAATTTATTTGAGCATGAGCTTTCATGAGCTACAGCTCACTGCAGGTTACCGGGACTAGACAGGCTGGTCACTCCTGGGGCTGATCCGGGAGGTGGGGGGGGAGGGGGCAGGAGTTTGTTGCTGTTGTTGTTATGAACGGTTTAGCAGCTCATTTAGCACAGAGACAAAAAGGGGCCTTTCCGCTCCGCAAGTCAGCCCTGGGAGTCACAAACGGGCTCCCAGTTCTTGTCCTAAGATAACCAGTGTGCTTCCTGTGACAAACGGGCCTGCATTTGCCCCACTTGAGTTACTCCCTTTGGCTTCTCATCCCCTGTAGGCTGGGAGAATAAGGTCCCTGGAGTCCAGAGACCTCCCCACCTCTCCCGGTCAAGTCTCCAGGTCAGCTTAGAGGTCTGGTGGGTGGAATCCACTTTTGAACCAGAAGCCCTAGCTGTTTTCTAGCAAGCAGGGGGTTGATTTAATTTCACACAGGTGTACAGGGGTAGTAATGTGGCAGGCCTGGGGATGTGAAGGGCTCAAGCAGGCATGCCAGGAGCATACAGGGGAACTCTGGATAAACAGCTGTTTGGGAGACTCATGTAGCTGTACTGGGCTGGTTGTATTCAGACTGCCTAGTCTCAGGCTGTCTCCCCCGCCCTGGCACTCAGCTGGACCCTAACCCACTGCCTGATGCCTTTTGCCTTCACCTCCAGTCAGCTGCTGGAGCCAGCTGGCCAGGAAGACTCTTTTTCCCTCCCAGCCTCTCCTCTTCCTGATCCATCCTATTGCAGAGCAGGATCTATGACACAGAGCGCTCTGTGCGTATGGCTGGTGATGATAACCAAGGGGCAGCAGCAACCATGCACCTCCTCCTTCGTGAGCAGTGCTTGAGTGGAAGGACAGGTGGCCGAAAAGAGGAGCCCTGCCTAGAGGTACTGGAGGATCTGGAATTCAGAAATCTGAGGCCAGGTTCACGGACATAAGAAAGAATAGGGAGGGAGGTCGCAGCAGAGCTGCTGAGCAGCAATCACTGCTTCGCCTGGGCTCATGCATGACATGCAGGATTCCTCTATTTCATGTACAGATGGAATGAACATTCCACGGGTAGGGACAGAAATCAGCTTCCATAATGGCTCTCACTTCATGTCCATACCAGCGTCTACTCCCCAGTACAGTTTAACCACATTATTGCACTCCTAGCCTGCCTGGGGTTTGGGATGCGGTAGACCCCAGGACAGTTTATCAAGAGATTCTTCGTTTTACATGGACAAAAGAAAACATTGCTTTTGGTGGGGTGGGAGGCAAAAGCTTCAACAGGTGTTTGTCAAGACAGGAACCAACTGACAGACAGACCCTTGACATATTTTTTCCTTTCCTAAGGGTCACATGAGAGCAAATGGAACCAAACATCACCTGATCTCATCACTGTTACCCAGATCTACTGTACCTGCATCTTCGCAACTCTTGAAAGTTCCTCCAAGAGGCATGGGAGGGGAAGGAAACTGACCAAGGTGCAAAGTCAACTTTTATCATCCCATTAACAAACAAGTCTGACATTTTAAAAAGAGGGTTTTAAAGGGAAATCCCAGCTTGACAAGGCATCCAGATGGGCTGTTTGTGGGGATCTCTACACTGCGATAAAAGACCTGTGGCACGGTCACGGCTGGCCCAGGTGAGCTGACTCAGGCTCATGGGGCTCTATAAAATGACAGTGTATACGTTCAAGGTCAGGCTGGAGCCCAGGCTCTGAGATCCTGGGTCTGAACATCTAGGCTGCTATTTTATAGCTCTACAGTCCCAGCTCGAGGCACCTGCCCAGGGCTCGTTGAGTCGGTGCCATGAGTCTTTTATCGCAGTGTAGACATCGCCTGGAAGGTTCAGGCAGAATTGACAGCTGTCAGGGTGTGTCAAGAGCCCAAATGGTGGATTAATATTTGGACCGTCTCCTTGGCCCACTGTGCCCCTCTAGCAGGCATCCCCGCTGTTGATGGGGTGAGCGGAGAGGCAGTGGAAGAGCGGGGGATAACACAGGAGACAGACACATGAGTCCCGCAGGCAGGTTGCTTTTGCTCTTCTCCCAGAGCAGCTCTCTCTTTGGGTCCAGCAGAACCGATGCAGCGCGGAGGCCGTGGCTCGCCTGTGGCAGCATGGTTCTTTGGGTCAGCTCATCAGGACGCTGCTGCTTCTTCAGCTCCCACACAAGGAGCCAGGCCCTTCCAACCCGCCGCAGCAGAAGTTCTGGCTTTTAGGTCCTTAGAGTCATAGAACATCAGGGCTGGAAGGGACCTCAGGGGGTCACCTCGTCCCACCTGCTGCTCAACGCAGGACCAACCCCAACTAAATCATCCCAGCCGGGGCTTTGTCAAGCCGGACCTTAAAAACCTCTAAGGAAGGAGATTCCACCCCCTCCCCAGGGAACCCGTGCCAGTCTTTCTCCACCCTCCTAGTGAAAAAGTTTTTCCTAATATCCAACCTAGACCCCCCCACTGCAACTTGAGACCATTGCTCCTCATTCTGTCATCTGCCACCCCTGAGAACAACCGAGCTCCATCCTCTTTGGAACCCCCCTTCCAGCAGCCGAAAGCAGCGACCAAATCCCCCCTCATCCTTCTCTTCCTTGACTCTTTCCAAGAGGCCACAGGTTTCTGTCCCGAGCCCTGAGGGGTGCACGGCAGAGAAGGGGGGGCGGGCTGCACGGAAAACGTGGGGTGGGGGCAGGGGGTGCGTGGCAGACGGGGGAGAGAGGAAGAGGGGGGGTAGCTTGGAGCGGGGCAGCACAGTGATGACGTCAGAGAAGGGCCCACCATCTTTGTGCGGGGCACAAGGTGGGGGCGGGGAGGGGAATGGACCGGGGTCTTTCCCCATAAGCCGCCCCCTCGGCAGCCGACTGCGATCGGGCGGCGGGACGTGTTCCTCGCACAACGCTTTCGAGGGGTGAGCGGGCGAGCGGGAGGAGGAGGAGGAGGAGGAGAAGGAGGAGGGGGCGGTGACGGAGCGCCCCGCACAAAGATGGCGCTCGCCCGGGCGCGCGTCGCGGGCGTGGAAGGACCCAAAGGGTGGAAGGACCCAACCAGGCCCCACCCCCGGGCCTCCTCCTCCTCCTCCTCCTCCTCCTCCGCCGGCGTCCGTGCTCCCTTCCCCCAATCCCACCCTTCGCGGCGGCAGGGGCCGGCCGCTGCCCCTCCCCTCAGGCGGGGATAAGGCGCCCCGTGACGGGCGAAGCGAGCGACAGCCGGAGCCGGCAGCAGGTCAGAGCAGGGAGGGGGGAGCCGCTTCCCCCGGGTTATCCGCCCTGGGCTTGGACCGCGGGGGGGCCCATTCTGGGGGAGGGAGGTTTGAAGGGGGGGCGGGGCCCCCACTCTAGGGTGGGAGGGAGGGAGGGAGGGAGGTAGGTAGGTAGGTAGGTAGGTTTGAAGGGGGGGACCTGGGGCCCATTCTGGGGGATGGGGGTGGGAGGGAGGTTTGAGGGGGGGCGGGACCCATTCTGGGGGGTGGGAGGGAGGTTTGAGGGGGGGGCGGGACCCATTCTGGGGGGGGGTGGGGGGGAGGTTTGAGGGGGGGGACCGGGCCCATTCTGGGGGGTGGGAGGGAGGTTTGAAGGGGGGGGACCTGGGGCCCATTCTGGGGGATGGGGGTGGGAGGGAGGTTTGAGGGGGGGCCTGGGGCCCATTCTGGGGGATGGGGGTGGGAGGGAGGTTTGAAGGGGGGGACCTGGGGCCCATTCTGGGGGGGGGGTGGGAGGGAGGTTTGAGGGGGGGGGACCTGGGGCCCATTCTGGGGGGGGAGGTGGGGGGGGAGGGGGGGAGGGGGTTTGGGAGGGGGTTGAGGGGGGGGCCCATTCTGGGGGATGGGGGTGGGAGGGAGGTTTGAGGGGGGGGACCTGGGGCCCATTCTGGGGGATGGGGGTGGGAGGGAGGTTTGAGGGGGGGGGCTGGGGCCCATTCTGGGGGGTGGGAGGGAGGTTTGAAGGGGGGGGACCTGGGGCCCATTCTGGGGGGTGGGAGGGAGGTTTGAGGGGGGGGACCTGGGGCCCATTCTGGGGGGTGGGAGGGACGGCTGGCTGGGTTTGGAGGTTCAGTGTATTGGAGCTGGGGTATCTGGCGTGGGGCACAAGGGGTGGGGTGGGGGGCTAGGCCTACTCCAGCGTGGGCCAGGCCTGGGTTGGGTTCCTTGTAACCATTCTTTCAAAGCAGTCTGTGCTTTGAGAGGGGGGAGTGGGAGTTGACCCCTCATCAAGAGCCATGTGACTCATTAGAGGTCTTCTGGCGCCCCCCCCCCCCCCATGACTCCAGGGATGCTGTGTCTGTCAGGCCTGCCCTGGGGGTGGTGTATAGTCTCAGCTCTCCTTGCTCAGGAGGGGTCATCTTCAGTTCAGGAAGGACCAACGTGGGCTCATTAAATCTTTAGAGCGTCTTTGCTGCTTTCCGAGAAGACTCACGTACTATCTCTGCAAACCCTGGTTTTAGTTCCACTTCCCATGCGTGTTTACTTTATGCCAGTTAAATGTTTGCACAGTGCTTTGGAAAATGGGAAGTGCTGCATAAATGAGGACCAGGTAACTGACTTCACACCTTTCTGTATGGTTGTATCCTGTTTGTCTAAAGAATGGTTTGCAGCACATAAGTCATTCTGTCTGCTGAATCTTTACCTTACAAGCCCCACCAGAATTTATATATATTTGTATCAACAACAGACCCTGTAACTGACACAACACTGTTGTCTTGCCTAGACTGAGATTTAAGTTGTGATGTTAAATATGTAGAGCAACTTGCTTCTGACCTGGTGTAGTCATGGTAGTGTGCCTGAACATGTTAAGTGTTGAGTTAAAGCGTTCCCCCTAGAGTTCGCCCTCTACCAGCTAACAGATGTTAAAATACAACTTGTCTTCTCTAGAGTTTTAACGTGTTATCTAACATTACTTTAAAAACATCTTTTATTCTAATGAAGATGAAGTGTATGTGAGATGCTTGTTTTAACATTAGGTCAGGGACCCTGGCTTAGGAGTTTCATCTTTAAATTAGATATGATAGTGACAAGAAGTTAAGTTGGTGGGGAAGAAGAAAACAGGGTTATACAGAAATGGTTGCTTTCTTGAGATTTTGTTAATATGCCTTGTATTCCTATTTTAACTTGTGTACAAGCCTAGATTATTTGTGATAAGTGAATATGTTTGAGATGACCTGATAGAAGAACAGGAGTCCAGGACTGGAAAGCTAACCTAGACACTTGTCTTGTGGGCTCTCATAACTTTCCTTTGCTCCATAATCTCATTTTGTGGAATCCTGTTAAAATCACTTGAGGCAATTAATAGAAGCTTCAAGGTTAATTTTGATTTATGACGTGGAAGGCATAAAGCTATAATAAACATTGCCAGTGGCAGACCCAAGTTCTTTAAAGGCTATGAGGAAAAACCACAATACAGTGGGATAGGAGGGAGAATGTGTAGGACAAAGCAATTGCTCCTTCTGTCTGCTCTATATCCCAAAATGGTAAAGAGGCTTGTGTTAAAATGCAGACCATGTATGCTAGCTGTGCTATTATTGAATCAGAAGGTCTCTTGTTTTACTTCCACTTATGAATTCTTGTAGGACAGGAAAGCTGTCATGCCTTTTCCTCTGCGAGTGACTAATAGGGAGAATCCTCACCACAGATGCTTAATAGTCACCAGCGGCTACGTGCACATACGCAGGCGTGGATGCACGGTGTCTGTCAGTTGTATCTGAGTGAAGGGCTAGACTCAAGCCTTTTCCTGTATTTTGGAGGTTGTAGTTTGCCCTAAGAGAGGAAATACTGGTTTTCTTCAGAATGCACAAACAGGACCTCTAGTGGAGTAACAACAGCTTACATGAAAAAAAATCTGTTTTTCCAGACCTTTGGCTTTGTTGGATAATTGAATTTTCTCTGTAAGGGTCAAAGTCTCAAAGGAAACCTAGAATTTCATTCTGCAGTCATAGCAGACTGGCTTGCTTTTTTTATGTACGTTTGGTGGCTTAGCAAACAGGAATAAGGCCAACCTGTTGGTCCTAAATCTAAATTGTGATGGAAACTAAATATTCTATGCGGAGGTTGCTCCACAGGTCAAGCCATACTAATGTTAGACATGTATATTGCACTTTTCATTTTCTAAACACTTTACAAATCTTCACTAACCCTGCCTGCATCCCTGCGAGCAAGTTAGTATGGGTGTTTGTCCCCCTTTTACAGATGGTGGGGGAGGAACAGAGGGAGAACTGGGGTTAGCAGTTGAGTTCTTGGCTCTCAGTTCTGCTGTCAGCCCCAGTCTGGCCTCTCTGATTTCAAAGCCGTTTGGCTCAGGCTTGGTCTACACTTAGAAGTTCTGTCCACGTAGCTACGTCGTCCCGGGGTGTGAAAAACCCCACACCCCTGACCAACACAGCTATGTTGATAAACCCCCCAGTGTGGATGCAGCATGTCAATAGGCTGCTGCCAACATAGCTAAGCTGGTGTTCCTATGCTGACAGAAAAACTCCATCAGTCAATGCAGGCTGCATCTCTACTAGGGGGCTCTACCAGCCTAGGCTCTGTAGCATAGACATAGCCAGTTGGAAAAAGCAACTTCCTCTCTGGGATTTGGGATCAGAGCTGACCCTGTCTGTCAGGGGTTGTCATCTGAACCCATGGCCCAGGGAAGCACTTTGGCAATGGCTTTTTTTCTCCCTTCCCTCCACAGAGCACCCTGAGGGATGCCCAAGAAGTTCCAGGGCGAGAACACCAAGTCGGCTGCTGCCCGCGCAAGGAAAGCTGAGGCCAAGGCAGCAGCCGATGCCAAGCGGCAGCAGGAGCTGGAAGATGCCTTTTGGAAGGATGAGGACAAACACGTCATGAGGAAGGAACAAAGGAAGGTAAATGGAGGAGAGTGTGTGTGTGTAAGGGAACCTTGTGGCAAGTCCTTGCGTTCACACCTGGGAACCTCAACTTACCTTGCAGGGGTTGCTCCTGTTCTTCTGTTCCAAGGCTACCATTGGTGCTAGAAGCACTGTCCCGTCCTTTTTCAGGGACGGGAGATAGAGCTCATTGCTACCTTAGGAATGAACAGAAGCAGAATGTTGTGAGGAGCATTCGTGTTCATGCACGACTCAGAGCTGTATTAGATTATAGAGCTGCCTTCCTAAGGGCAATGGTGAGAGCCCCATTGGAATTATTTAAACTGAATTGGGTAAAGTGCAGAAGAACCTGTTATAGGGAACAATCCTACAGGAGCCTGGATGACCTGGACCCTAATCTTTTGTGCATCTCCTGCAAATCAAAGAAATATACAATCCACAAAGGATCGCCTCTTTTTGCCAGAAGCTGGGGATGGGGGATGGATCGCTGGATGATTCTCTGGTCTGTTCATCCCCTCTGGGGCACTTGGCACTGGCCACTGTCAGAAGGCAGGACACTGGGCTGGATGGACCCTTGGTCTGACTCAGTCTGGCCGCTCTTATAACGTGACTTTTTTTTGTCTTGCCTATTGTAACGTTGGTTTTCTGGGGATGAGTTTTCCCAATTAGATTCTAATCCACTTCCTGTGCTCTGTATGTAAATCATTTAGCTGTTCAATAGGTGGATCAGTTCAGTGTTAACTTCTGGACCGTTCAGACTTGAAGGTTGTGTTGTGGTGTTGTATGTTGTAGGACAGGTAAATTTCCCTCCCGTTCCAGTAACATTTTTTTGACCTACCATGTCACGTGAAAGCTAGGAAGTTCTCACAGTCCCCATGCAAGCAATACACAAGCAAATGTACTTCTTACTACTTCCATGGGTTTCCTAGAAACTTAATTGCCAACATTAACTGCTAGTAGTACTTGCTTTTCTAAAACAGGATTTGTTTACCCTGCTGATATCCTTTCCTAGCCCAAGGAGTTCTGCTGGAGTCCTGGAAATGAAATGCCTTGTGTATGTAGGTCTGCTCTCACTGTGAACTCCATCAATGGAAGCTACGTGGGTGTGGCTGAATATATGGGGCTGGTCTGACCTCTGCTAGAGTTTGCCCATTAATTTACGTAAACAAAAAACATTAAAGGCCTTTGTGTTCCTTTAGAATAATGTATTTTGGCCTCTCCGTTGCAAAGTACTTGTTACAGCTTCACCACTGTTGCAAAAAACCAGAGTACTCTTTTTTTCATTTAGGAACCCCTGGATATTTTTTCAAAAGCATCTGTCTTTTTTTTTTTTTTTTATTTTAAATATAAAAGGATTTGGGGTTTGGCTATTTTAATTTTGCTTTCAGCTAAAATGGCTGTTAAACAAGTCCCCTAGGAATCCGAGTTCAGAGAAAATCGCTACACAAATGGGTTAAGTCTCTTCTGTGGCTCTTAACTCACTGATTGAAAAACTTGTCGTCCTTGCATCCTGATGCTTTTTCTGACCTAGGTAAAAATCCCCTCTTCACTACCTCCATCCCCCCAAAATAGCAGTATTAGAAAATGTCCCTCTTGGCTGGTATGCCAGTGCAGACGGATTTCTAGGTGTGCCGTCCCAGTGGGGTAGCTCAGCTGCATCTTCCGGAGTTAGCGCTCAAAGGGATGTTTATGCTGGGTCATCACGTCTGATGGCGAAAGGCCTGGTGTCTTGCGGCATGGCGGGTGGCGGTCTGGCACCCTTGGTGCTTCGGTAGCATGCCTGCATGCGGTGCCAGACCCTCTCGTGGCCAGCCACTGCTGCCTAATGGCTTAGAGCCGAGCCGTTCTCTTTACCCTGAGATCACGCCGTAACCAGGTGTTGGGGAGCATTGCGGTGCGTCGGCAGTAAAGCATAAGGTCACTGAACCAGTATCGCTGCACTGCAGCCAGTGGCTCTATTTAAGTTAAATCCAATGTGCGGCATAAGCTGATTGCTGTGGTGGTGGTTCGCAGTTACTGAATTGCAAGGTGGTTGAACTGGGGCCTCTGTTTCTGCCATCTTGACTCAAGCAGGGTACTGGGAAAGCCAATTGGAGGGAACAGTCCCGTGTTGCTGAAGGAGACGGGCTAAATGAGAGGAACCCAGTTCCTGGTATGCATGTTGCTGCTGTGTATCAGAGTTCACGTTATGCCGGGCACTGCCCACACCCACTGGAACAGAGTTTCCAGTCCAAAGAGCTGACCGTATAAACTGGATCTTCACGCTTTTGTGGCTGGTGTTCTAAGCTTCCTCTTGCGACCTGATGACGTGCTGTAGTGGTCCACCACAGCCAGCTTCCTATTCAACCCACCGTGCAGCTTGGGCCGTTGTGATCATGAGAGTGAGGACTGGAGCAGATCCATGCTGGGTTAGAACATGCACAGCAGAGAGTCCTTGTGGGTGGCAACAGAGAGTCCTTGTCTGATCAGGTCAGGGATCCCAGAACCAGTGGCTGGCTGCTGTAGAAATACCTGAGAGCGAATTTCCATTTCTAGTGTCTCTGATCTGAATATACCAGCTTTTGGTCTTTAATGCCCATTGATTCATCTCTGGTCTCTTCCCTGCTGTCTTCCATGGCATGCTGCCCATCGGGCATCAGAATGAGAAATAAGCCCCATGTGCTTCATGGAGCAAGAGGCTTGAGGAGCATGTCTATAAACACTTTTTTTCTTTATTTTTTTTTCTGTAAAGAAAATGTTAGCAAGGAATTGTTTGACCTTATCAAACTTGGGTGTTGCCTGCGCTTGGCATGTGTAGTTTGCTTTTTCTTCCTCTGCAGACAGAAAATTGTTACTGAAGTAATCATAGCTTAGCGAGCCACTTGGTTCAGCTTCCCTCTGAAGTCTTAATGCTACTAATGCACTTTGACTGGGGACGTGGCTATGAGATGCCATCTTCCTCAGCCGAGCTGAGAGCATTAGACAAATGTAATATTGGAATCTCTTGGCATCTTTCCCCTCTCCTCTTTTGTCTCCTTTCCTTCACCCTTCGAAACGGTCTCTTTGCTGCGCTTAATTTAATCTCGATCTACGTCACATCTTAATATGTGCGAGCATAGCCGCAAGATGCCACCTAGGCCTTAGTCTTAGGAAGCTGCTAATCAGTTGTGAAAATCTAAACGAACGCCTGTCTCCATGAGTATCTGAAACTTGTGGAGGTGTCGACCGTCTGTCTCTCCTTAGGGAGAGTAGACAGTGCACTTTCCACAACTGCAGCACTCTGGGGACATGGGGTAGTATTCTCTGTGCACCGGGGTTGTAGTTTGCAGTCACTGTACATAAAACAGACCCCTCGATTTCAGGGCCTGGGCATGCTCCACTAAAATGTCGTGTCTTTGCATTTTACTCAATGGCCTTTGATGGATACTTTGCCCACCTCTCGCTGCCTTGCTCTTGGGGACTCTGGAAATGTCCCATGAAATCTGTGGTGCAACTGGGAAAAGAACCTACATTTCTGGAGTCCCTGTCCAGTGCCTTCATCACAAGCCCTCCTTCCTCCCTCTTATTGTGGTGCACTAGGAGCTGGACTGAGACCATCTCTCTCTTTGGCCTGGTATACTCCAGAAAAGCTTTGCTGGTATAGATCTATTCCAGGGGTTGCCAAACAGCAGCTCACGAGCCACATGCAGCTCTTGAACAGTTAAAGTGTGGCTCCCGGAGGGGGGTTCCCCCTTTTCCGCCTAATAAACTGGTGGGGAGGGGAGCTCAGGACCTATGGCAGGGCTCAGGGCTTCAGCCCTGCAGGGCACCTTCCCTGGGGCAAAAGCGTCAAGCCCCACCACCCTGCTGCCAAGCCCTGGCAGGTGAGCCCCAGCGGGTGCACCTGGCTCTTGAGGCGATGAAGATTATCGTATGCGGCTCAGAGGGTCAGTAAGTTTGGCCACCCCGATATATTCATTGAACTAAACAGTCAGTCTCCCTCCTGGTGATACAGCACATAAAGGCAAGAGTTCCGTTGTCGGTATAGCTTATCCAGTTCTCCAAACAGGGTAAGCTAGCTGGGCAAAAAGCCTTTTTTGCCAATATAACTGTGTACACTGAGGCTTTTTCTGGCATGGCTTTATTGGTCAGGGAGGTGAGGGGAGGAATCATGTCCCTGATGACATAGTTGTGCTGGCAAAACTTTTAAGATCTTTGTATGTGTCCCTCAATAGCCATCAGCAGTTAATGACTGAATTGTCTGGGAAGAATTGGCAAAATCCTCAATAGCCCATTTCAGATCCCCTCTGAATCCTGGCTTCTAGATGCATTTTTAATACCTCTGATGGGTCTGCATTTTTGTTTAATATCTGTGATGGTTCTCCTACGTACTACTATTTCCATCCATTTCCTTTGCCTGGCTTGTCATTCCTCAGGCCCAGAGTCAGAGTAAACATAGTCTGTGTGGTCTAGATAGCAGATGGCAGTTCTTGGATTTTAATTCTGCTGAGCCACCAGCTTGCTGTAGGCCCCTGATCGAATCCTTTGCTCACATTGTGCCTGTCACCCAGTCTTCCCCCAGATGGGCTAAAAGGCAGTGCCTTTCACCTGAGCCTCCTTGGCAAGTGAATAACCAAAAGGAAGTGTGTCAGATGCATGCACCCCATGATATGCCAGGAGGTAAGTGAGGTGGGGGTAAAACAGAGGATTTATATGGACTCTGATTTTAGGAAGGCACCCAAACATGACTAAAGAATCCATGAAACGTATTTGGACAGGATCTGCCAAAGGATGGTATCCAGCAGGGGAATAGCCTTACTCGGTGCAAGAGGGACTTGGTCCTCCTACACATGCTGTAACTGAGAGCAGCACATCTATAACGGTAAGTCTACATTGCAGTAAAACACCCATGGCTGGCCTGGGGCAGCTCACTCGGGCTGTGGGCCTATAAAATTGCAGTGTAGACATTAGGGCTTGGGCTCTGGGACCCTCTCCCCCCACTCCTGGGGTCTCCGGGCTCGGGCTCAGGCTCACAATGTCTACACTGCAAAGTTTTAGCT